TTTTATTTTTTCCAACCTTATGTTTTATTGAAACCAGATTCTGTGTTTTAACATGTCTAATTATTTGAAAGCATAAAAACGAGTTTAATTTATTCTTACAATAGCCTAATGAATTTTCCCCTCAGAAATTCTGTGTTGTGTATTTACATTTTTAAGGCATAAAACATTAATTTAATTTATCTTTTAATTAATGAAAATTAAACCAATTTTATTTTTTGGAAAATAAAGGGGAATTAATATTACAATTAAAACATTGAAGAAATATTGTATGATTATTCCTTAAAAATAAGGTTTTAATCATTTTAGTAGTAGTAGTAGTAGCTTATTACGTACATTCTACTCAACAATAGTAATGCAATGTCTTCAAGTTAAACCAAACCTTTATTTTGACGGGTTGCTGTGAATACCTTTACATTCCTGTGCGTGTATGATATGAGGATAGTTTTACTCAAACGAAACGGTCAAATGCTGATGAAGTGACCCTCAGAGCAGTTCTGGAGATGTTGTTCATGTATTTATGTCCTCATTCAGTGAGACGGCAGAGGCTAATATCACCGGAAGCGTCACGTGCGCTTCAGTACGAGTAGTAAACAAAACCGCGCGTCTGCGCCATTCATTAACACAGAGACACGCAGAATTCATATTTAAAAAGTCGTTTTGCGGCCTAATATTTACAAATACTAGTGGGAGTGTGTTCACATGTGTGTGCTCACATGTGTGTGCTCACGTGTGTGTGTGTGTGTGTGTGTGTGTGTGTGTGTGTGTGTGCGCGCGCGCATCGGGGCGGAACTCCGCTGTGCGCGATAACAGAGAGCGCGACCATGTAACGTAGAGACAGAAATGACATGCCGTCGTGTAAATAAGATAAATAACATAAGGCTATTTAGTTTGTTTAATAAAAGAACAAGGTATAGACCTGTTCTATAGGAAAGGTAACTTTAAATGACTTCTGTTGTGATCTGGCGCTATAGAGAAAATTAAATTAACTTGACCTTCAGGGGGGGGCGTTAGGGGGGCGCAAAACGACTATTTAAATATATAGTAATATCTTAATAATACTAGAATAACCCTGGTGCATTTTTAGATTAAAAAAACAACAACAAAATGAAACGAACAACAAAAAATTATTTGCATTATAATTTGTTTATAAGAAGGGGATGCTTCCTCCAAACTGAGGTTCAGTCAGATTTTGTTCATTTCTAGAGACAAATTAAGAGTAAACACACCCACAATGACTGTTAAAGTGAATTGTGTTAGTTCTGGCCTGTTATATCAAATCAAATCATCCTGTGACGAGCCACTTTTCCCCCAATATCCTTCCTTTGTTCAAACATGATGACTTCCGATGTGACCCGCTGCGTTTTATTAGGCCCACGGCCCAGATAGCAGTTCCTGAATGTGATTTCTTTAACCAGAGCTCGTGAAGTTGACAAAGCATTGCTATTTTTGAATAGCTTGGCTTTCAAATACTCTCTCACCTGTTGAGAGTCATCCAGGTAAGGGCCGGTCTTTCCTGAAGTGATGTTATAGCTGTAGAGGTGAACTGCATGTTTACAGATGCGGTTCTTCTGTTTGTCGTGGCATCTCACTCCAGAGACCTGCTCCAGAGAAAGCACTCAAACACTGTTTTGCAGCTTACTGTAGCTGAACAGGTTCTGGAAGACAGTGGAGGAGAGCCAGTCGTGTCATATAATGTCATAATGTTCATAGCTTTGGGGGGAAAGTGAATGTAGCTAAAGCTGAAAATCTCAGCACAGCAGTCTATTGCTGATTGGCTGCTGCTCTCTGATCCTCTGACGCTCAGATCCTGGAGAATCCAGGTCATATGCAATTGAAGCAAAAAGCCGTGAGAGAATGATTCGTATCGTACCGAAAAACGCCCATTAGAGAAAAAAAGAAAAAACGCCCATTAGTTGTTGTCAAATTACTGTAATGCATGACTGAGAGGCTTTTTTATAGCATAAAGCAACAGTAATATGAAATAAATAAATAGTTTATTAATGACATTTCTTTTACTTTTTTTAATTTTATTTTTAAATATTTTTTTTATTATTGTAGTTATTAATGTTTATTTTATTATAATTTTTTTATTGAATTTTTCATTTTATTATTTTGTTTATTTTATTATTTTGTCATGTAATTCTTTTTATTTTTATTTAATTTATTGTTTTATTATTGTTCATTTATTTTTATTTTATTGTTTTTATAATTTTTCATTTTTTATCATCTTATTAAATTAATTTATTTTAGTTTTTTATTTAGTTTTACTATTTTTATTTTATTTTCTGATATTATTTGTATTTTGTATTTCATTTATTTACTCACTATCTTTAGTTTTCATTTATTGCTACATGAATGGCGCAAGCAATGTCAGCACAACATGAGTTCACCTTTATGTTTTATATAAAGCATGAAACAACAGTAATATGATGTTTAATAAATACCCTGCTTATTAATCACGATAATAATCATAGTAAATGCATGGTGACCTCTGGGCTGTTGTGTCGTTAAACAGCAGGAGTGAGTTTCTCATCAGTCTGGCTCTCAGGGTCGGCTGGTGTGGCTTCGTTTAGCTGCTGGCTTGAAGGACTGATTGCTGCAGCTCATGAGGATGATGTCACCTCACCACAGTAGAGCAGCAGACGAAATGAGCTCATGAAAGTCTCGAGTCGAATTGCATGCTTGAGTTCAGAAGGAAAGTTCAGCTCACAAGTGCTTGCCGCTGCTGTCATACTCCTAATATTCACACCCACTTCCTGTCTGAAAGCCCCTTCTTCCTCCACTGGAACATTCTGTCCTCCTCACTGTGGTGCCTCGCCAGTAGAGGACGCCACACAGGATTTGACCTCTACATACGACTCGGCTCTGTGATTTATGAGATCAATATTAATGACTATTTTATTTTTTAATTTTTATTTATTTTATTTAAATTTTGTTGCATTTAATTTTTTATTTTTATTGTATTATTTTATTTTAATATTATTAATTTTTTTTGTTATATTCGATTTTTTTCATTTTATTATTATTATAATTTTTTTGTAGTAGTAGTAGTAGTAGTGCACTTAATTGTATTATATATTTTATTATTATTTTTAAATATTATTTTATATATTTTTTTAATTCTATTTAAGATTTTATTAAATTATTATTTCGTTTTTTTTGTATTATTATTATTATTATTACTTTTAATACATAATTAAATTAAAAATTAAATATAATAAAAAAAAATTTTTAAGAACTGAGTGTATTTAAATGTTAAAGAGGGAGAAGTGATTCTCAACTTAGCCTGTTGAACTGATGCTTCAGGATAGCTCTGTTTAATCAGGTGTGTGTGTGTGTGTGTGTGTGTGTGTGTCCATCCCACAGCTGTAATCCTGCTGCGTTACACCGCTGCCACATCTTTAATCTCTGTGATTTAGGAAAACACAGACGCAAAGTCTTGAGATTACACAACACAGGAAGACACAAATTATGATTATCAGCAGAGAGACGCCGCAAATGAATCACAGGCTTTGAAAGAAAGGGAGTTAAAGAAGGAAATGAGTGCATTTGGGCTGGTTTCACCCTCAAGACGATCTTGTTTTTATGTGCTGCTTTGATTTCTTCTGATAATGGGCATGTTAAATGATCAAACGAGTAGGCCTATCTGATGAAATAATTCAACATCTCACAGTCGATGTCAAGAGATTGCATCATAATATATGACAACATCATAATAGAAAGTGTCACATTTGTGTTTGCTGCGGTGCATAAATGACAGTAAATACTAAATATTAATGAGAGAGGATCTGCAAGGAGGGATGGCAGAGGATCCCCAAATCCAGGTGTGAAGAACTTGTTGCATCTTTCCCAAAAAGACTCATGGCTGTATTCGATCAAAAGGGTGCTTCTACTAAATACTGAGCAAAGGGTCTGAATACTTAGGACCATGTGTTATTTCAGTTTTTCTTTTTTAATAAATCTGCAAAAATGTCAACAATTCTGTGTTTTTCTGTCAATATGGGGTGCTGTGTGTACATTAATGAGGAAAAAAAATTAACTTAAATGATTTTAGCAAATGGCTGCAATATAACAAAGAGGGAACAATTTAAAGGGGTCTGAATACTTTCCGTACCCACTGTAGGTGGTTGTTATTATTGTGTTATTAAATCTACATGTTTTCTTCTCGTTGTCTTTGTGTTGCAGTAAGAGTCATGGCGGATCTGAGCTTGACCGATGCTCTGACCGACAGCGTTCCTCAGCCTGACGTGGAGAACATGGTGGAGAGGGATTTTGTGACCACGCTGGAGGCCGAGACCTTCGACGATCAGATCGGAGAGACGGTTGACAAGGCCAACTATGTCCCACTGCTGGACAATGATGGGAAGGGTGAGTCTGATCTGTTGATGTTAACAGGTTACACAGCGAAAACATCAGGCGTGCCCAAGTTGTGTTGCATAATGCTAATCTATTACCAACAAGCTTTCTTTTCTTTTCTTGTATTGTATTGCATTGCATTTTTTAAAAGTATTTCATTGCATTTTATTTTTTATTATTTTATTGCATTGCATTGCATTTTATTTATTATTTTGTTGCCATACGTTTTTTTTTATTGCATTTTTTATTTTGACTACATTTGACATGATTCGATTCTTATAGTTTTTCATTTTATTATTATTTTATTGTATTGCATTGCATTTTATTTTTTAATTATAAATTTATTGCATTGCATTTTATTTTTTATTATTTTATTGCATTTTAATTTTATTATTGCATTGCATTATATATTTTTATTCTAATGTATTACCTTTTTTATCTACTTATTTTATAAGAGCAGTTGTACAGCATCTCTTTTCACAGATAGTTTTTTTTTCTCGAGGTTAAGTATTTGAAAACTGATCTCTCCTGTTTCAGGCACCTGTGATGTTCATTGAATGTTGCTGTGTGAAATAAGCAGTTCCTCTGGTTTATATTGACCTGTGTGAATCTTTGTGGGCATCTGTCTGATTGATTTCCAAGAGTTTGTTTGCATTGAGCAAACTGCGTGTTTGTCAAGAATCTCCCTTTGGCTTTTGAGGATTTTCTTATTCAAACGCCTCTAATTGTTGAGTGTGTGTGTGTGTGTGTGTGTGTGAGCAGATCCGGGTACAGTAGTCGAGATCGGACAGCAGGAAGTCCAAGGGGCTCAAAACCCTGGTAAGAGATGCCTTAGATTTAGTTTCGGGTGCCGCTCCATTATTTGAGTCATATCTTGGTTTGCTTGTTTTCTTTCATGCTCTTTTTCAGTTCAGCTCATTTGTTTTGGTTGGACGGGAAGCCACTCGTCTCAGTGGGCGTAGAGGAGACTAAAACCTTAATTTAGCAAGGTTTTAGTTTACTTTGTAATTGCATGTTTATCCCGTTAGCAGTGCATTAAACAGCAGCTTTTTACTGTTCTCCTCTCCTCTGTCACATGATGTCTGTCGGCAGGATTTGACTTTGCCAGACTTTTTGTGATTATTTTTGTTTCCTGTTTGTTGATGCTCACGAGTTAAAATTGTGATGTGCATAGACACTCAAATGGAGTCGATATTGTGAAATAGGTCCAATATGTTCATTAATGCACGTCATATACAGTAATGTATCAATATACCTAGATATCTGTTGCTCTTGTTTACATACACTGATTTTGGTCAGTCCAAATGAATCCAACTGTAGTTTTTACCTTGTTTCAGATTTTCATTTTTTAGCACAAATGTTCATTCTCCACTGCTGACCAGTTCATAAGACGTAAATAAACTTAAGCAACACGACACTACACATGTGCACAAGGTAATTTGGATTCTGACTGAGAAAGTAGTCTGATTTTAAAGGCATTGTTATTTTAATATAAGTGAGATACTTTTATAGTTTCTATTAATATTTTAAATAAAATGGTAACTCGATACTCAACCCTGGCTGTTTTTAACACAAAAATTGGGTAAAATATGTATTTTTTTAATAACATTATACTCAAAACACATAAAAACACATGGCATTCAAAAATTTTATAAAATATTGGGTCTGATTTTAATGTTTAAATGGTTAATATTTTCCTTTTTAATGGATTTGTAAGGCAGTGTTATTTTAGTGTAATTGAGATACTATTATATTTTTTTATCAGTATTTGTAATTGATTTTTTAAATAAATTATTTTAATATTTTCCATTTTTATTTTTAAGTTTTAGTAATTTTCTGTGGTCATTTTATTTATTTAATTTTAATGTCTATATACCTTTTATTTTGGGTATTTTAGTGCATCAAATTAAACTGAAGTCAAATGAAAAACAAAAGTTGCCTTGGCAACTATCTAGAAAAAAATTAAGTTGTTTCTATTTTATTTTATTTTTATTTCAAGTAATGGTTTTAGTTTCCATTAATGATATTAATTATAACCCAGCTTTAAGGTCTTCACCACCCCTTTGGAATGAGGTGTTTATGTTACTATAGTATATAATACTACGATAGTATTATATTACTATCCATTACTTTCTATTTCTTTGCCATGACCGTGCATGTCATCTCCCAAGTCTCAATCAGCCCAAAGCGTCTGTGTTTTTCTGCTCTTGTAGGTTCAGTGTTTGTCTTAATTGTCTCTCTTCTCACACACTCATATTACAGTAATAATTTACTCTCAGCTCTCAGCACACAAGAGCAAAATGCTTCAGACGGGGCGAGTCAGATGGTCATCGCATGCTGATGCACAAAAATGCTTCGTCTGGAGTCACTGCAGCTCACAAAATAACCATCTAATATGTGATTTCACTGTACTGCTTTATGATGGAAAAAGACAAAAATAGCATGCCTCAAGTGCATTATTGATTTTATAAAGCATTTAATGCATAATGAAAATAAGAAGTTCACAAATGTTCTTGAAAGCAGCGCTCAGGTTTGCTTTATTAAAGCATAACGTGTTTTGATGAGCGTCCTTCAGATGGCGCTGTTGTGCTGGAATGATCTCCTGCATGAGCTCTGCATTTCCATGATTCATGATTATGGAAAGTTTCTCTTTGCTGTTCTTGCAGGAAGTAAGTAGGGCAGAGAATATAGATCTGTGAGCTGCAGCCGACACAGATGTCCAGGGAACAGAGACATTTTTAAGCATGTCTTCATTTATTTATTTGCATATTTGTGGGCGGGGCCGTGCATGCTGCATGCGACGAGGCTGATGTGACAGAATGATTGACAGGTGTGAAGTACTAACCAGCGCTGTTGTTCTCTCCCCGTCTGCTGTGTGTTTCTGCTCTGCGTCGTGTCTGTTTCCGCCCCGTGTCTCGCTTCAGACGACTAGATCTTCTGCTCGTGGCTGCGTCTCGATGCCTCTTCTCCTCCTCTCCTCCTCTCGCTCACGCCGCTGAACCTCCTGGAAAACCTGTTCCTGACACCACCTTCAAAAGCCTCAGCTTTACACCCTGCTTAAGGACGAGGGATGTGTTGAGAGACGGAGAAAACCCTGATTCCAAACCCTAGTGAGCTGCTGTCTGCATAGGCTGCTGCCTTCTAAGGGGCCGTTCACACAAGACAGTACAGTTTTATTAAACTATTACGACTAGGGTTGGGTTTTGTTTCACTCTTATCAATTCTGAGTCTGCATATCAAATTCGTTTTTTATCAAATCTTGGTTCAGATTAAAATATTTACAAAAGTTAGCCTACCTTTTATTCCTGCCACATTTAGGCTATAATCACTGCTGCCAACTAAATATTGAACTAAATAACGTTTATTTAACATACAAGTGAATTCATAAATTCTTAACATTCAAGAAGCATTCAATAATTATTATTTTTTTAAAAACAGCTTGAACTGTATGAATTAAATAAACATCATTCTTATTAAAGCTACAATAGGAACAAGTTCTCGATACCTAACCCTATTTGCGACATGTTTTTTATATTAAAATTGTGTAAAATATTGGGTAAAATATGCATTTTTCTGATAATGTCTTATTCAAAATGCATAAAAACATGGAACACAAAAGTTTAGTAAAATATTGGATAAAATATGCATTTTATTAATAAAGTAATACAAAACATGGCATTCAAAAAAATGCATTTTTTCTAATTAATATGATACTCAAAACACAAACACATGGGACATAAACATTGGTTAAAATATTGTTAAATATAAATTTTTCTATGCATAAAACATGCATTTAATATGACACTCAAAACACGAACATGAACTGATATAGGACAGTTTTTTATTACAAAGGGTTTTCTTAAATATTTTGAATTAGAATTTTGCATGCACCTGCTATTTTATTGCAATGCATTCTGGGATTTCCTGTCCACGATGCTGCCTTGCAATTCATCTTTAATAAGATATCTTAAAAGGCATCAAAATCATGTTGCCTGACTTTATAGACCATCCATTAATTCGGGAGCACACTGTGATGCCTTAAAATGCTGACTATGTAGGCAGCTCACTAGGTTTTGGAACACTGTCTGGTTGTCAGACACACTCTGCCCTCTCATTTAAAGACATTCTCCTCTTCCTCTTCGGCAAAGTCATCGCAGGCACACTGTACAGCAGCATCAGCGGCCGCGGGACGCTCCAAACACGCCACCGGAGGATTCCCTCTGGGCTCAGGGGAAGCGGGATCTTTTGAGGGAACAGTAGCTCAGAGTGAGAGATGATATATCTGGTGATGACAGACCGCGGTCACACACGCCTCGAGATCCACACACACACACACACAAGCTCGCTCGATCTGTTTACTGTCTTACTGTCAGGCCTTTCTTCTTGCTCATACAAACACATTTCACCAATTAAAGTGCACATTATTATTTTTTCTCTCAATTCCTCATTTGTTTAGTCATTGTTTTAGGCTGCTAAATTGTCAGTAAATTAATGTTAGTTAATGTGATAAATGTTCTAGCAATAATATCAAATAGAGAGCAGATCTCCCACAATCCACTGCAAAATTCTGCTCTGACCATGGTTATTATAGTAAACTAAAACTGTACAAAACATTTTTGTTACTAGGATAAAATAATATTGAAATTATAATTTTTTTCAGTTAATGTATATTTTATAAAACATTAATTTAAATGAAATATTTAAAAAGTATATATTTTAAATATGATTTGATTTGATTATTTCAGCCAGTTGCTAGATTTCATATTTTAATTTGGTTTAATCGTATCTACTAAAATAACTGAATTTCAAATTAATTTATATCAACAAAAATTTAAAAGAAAAAAAAATTGGAAATGAAAAAAAAAAACCAACTGAAAATATTAATAAAAACAAAACAATAATAGTTAAATAACACTGACTGACTCTGAATATCCTGTTTCAACTTGTAGGAGTAAAATGGCTTGTGAATGTAGTTTCATGTTCTTGTCTTAATATCCTAAAGAGACTTTATTACTAGCGATAATCACTTGATTACCTGTAAACATGCACCATCATCAGTATGTGGTGTTAGTTCTGATGCACACAGCTTTGTTTATCGTCATACAGCAGTCGTCCAAAGAGACGTGTTGTGTTTTCATTGTTGCATTTGATTGCATCGTGCACAAACATACGCATAAGTACACTTCCCCCTGTCCTCTTGTCTGGCCATGTTAAAGCTCACTTTGAGACCTCAGCTGCCAGAGTTCATCACACACACACACAGCCTGTCGCAGTCTCGGCAGCGTTTATATAAGCGCTCGTAACAGACTGTCTGTCTAAGGCCAGAAACGCAGATGCAATCGCTCGGCCAGTGCACTACAAGCGTGCATGGGTTACAAGGATAACTTCAAAGATAATATCTTTAAAGCAGGTAGCATGATGGCTAAATATTTTCAGTAAAATTAGCTATTTATTACACTATTACTATTATAATTACACACTATTTACTCAAAATTCATTAAAAATATCATTCAGATGTTTAAACTTTAAAGTTAGTTCCGTTTGTTGTGATTTGGTCGGTAGTTTATTTCGGGCCTGACGCTGCACTCAGGTGTTTTTTAAGCTGATGTGTTTCCTTTACGCAGCTCTCTTTCTTTCAGCTGTATGTTTGTTTTTAACAAGTGCATGTGTTTATAATGATTGATTGATTTGTCTGTTTTTCCTGTCTTCTACATGGTTTTTCATTAAAAATATCATTCAGATGTTTAAACTTTAAAGTTAGTTCCGTTTGTTGTGATTTGGTCGGTAGTTTATTTCGGGCCTGACGCTGCACTCAGGTGTTTTTTAAGCTGATGTGTTTCCTTTACGCAGCTCTCTTTCTTTCAGCTGTATGTTTGTTTTTAACAAGTGCATGTGCTTATAATGATTGATTGATTTGTCTGTTTTTCCTGTCTTCTACATGGTTTCAATGAGCTTACTGAAACCTACACTAAACACTCTTACATGGTCTTTTATTAAAAGAACTGAAGATAACATGTTTATTTCCTGCATTATATTCATAGGATGTCTCGGCTTGCAAAAGTGCATTTGTAAAGGTGAAGTGTGTCATTTTTGCAACTCTAGTGATACCAAACCAAAAATAAAAATTAAAAAAATAAACAAATTAATAATAAAAAGGGTATATTATTTATATTATTATTATTTATTTAGTCTGTGGGTATGTAAGTTTTCCCATCTACCCTTTGTCTTTAATTGTATATGGAATATTAATAATATTTCTATGCAGCTGAGACACTTTGGAACTTTGTTTGGTGCTAAAAATGGCACAGAAATCACACGCTGCATCTTTAGAGATGGGTTGATTGAAATTGCATTTAAAGCAGATCTCATTTAACTTTTGAGTGTTTAACCAGAAACCAAGAGAGGCTTCAAACACGCTGCTGTAGCTTCTTCCTCCACTGACACACATGCTGGCTGCTGCAGTCTGATGTACGTGTAGATTTTTCTAGTGTACTGTCCACTCAGTTAATAAAGTTTTTATCGACTGTTTCAGTCTGTCCCTGTACTTGGAAATCTGGTTATTTGTTGCAGCATTGATTTTGCAGACGTTTTGGATGAACTAGTTTTATAGCTGGTCGTGATGTTCATGTTAACAGCTATCAGTGTTTTGATGTGTTGAATCACAATGTTAGACTTTTTGGGGAAATTGACAAATGGCTGTGTATTAAAGGGATAGGCCACCTAAAAATAGAAGAGCAACATTGGACCCCATTGACTTTCACTGTATGGAAAAAAAAAACACGGAGGCATTTTCCAAATCCAGACCATCTTCTTTTGTGTTTCACAGAAGAAGGAAAGTCATTATGTTAATGTTAATTGTTGTGTGAACTATCAAGTTGGCTCACTGCTGACCTGAACTGTAGTTTTGGTTGGTTATTCTCTTGGTCACTGTGATGGCGTGACTCCAGCAGCTCCAGTAACGCGTGTGTTTGGGCGGCGTCTATGCGGCAGTGGCTCCTGCGGGAGCTCTATATGGGTCAGTCTGGCCTACTTGAGTCTGTTTTAGGGCTGGACGGCCCGCAGCAGATGTGCTCGATCTGGAGCGTTGTGTCCCTGATTCTCCAGAGGACGGGAACCTCTGCGGAGTCCATCTCTCATCCAGCTGTGCCACTGCACAATCAATCACGCAAGTTTTCAATGTTTTATCGGCAGAACGTAATGCTGACAGCAAGGTATTGCAGTATATTTCTATGCATAATACATATACATATGTTTTAAAAGTCTCTAATGCTATTTTTTCAGCATCATTCCTCCAGTCTTCAGTGTCACATGATCTTCAGAAATCAGTATAATATGCTGATTTGCTGCTCAAGAAACATTTCTGATTATTAGCAATGCTGAAAACAGTTGTGCTGCCTAATATTTTTTGTGGAAGCGGTGATACATTTTATTTTTCAGGATTCACAGATGAACAGAAGGTTCAAAAGAACAGCATTTATTTAAAATAGAAATCTTTTGCAACATTTATAAATGTCTTTACTTTCACTTTTGATCAATTTAATGCGTCCTTGATGAATGAAATTAATTTATTCTTCAAAAACAAAACCCCCCAAAAAAGTTTAGTAAAAGCTGGTATTTACTTTTTGTATTATATATATATATATATATATAGCATTATTCATATAGACATATATGTAAATAATGTTTTTATTGTTGTTGTTATTATTATTTTAGTGCAACCATTCATCAAAAATGTGTCATTTTCTAAAAACATCTTAATGACCTGAACGTTTTGAAAGGTAGTGTGTGTGTATGTTATAGCATTGTATTGTATTTTCTAATACATAGTATTCATTTTAGTATTTTATTAATCATATGCCATTATTATGTATGTATAACAAATAATATATATTAGAAATATAATATTATTCATATATACATAAAATATAGTTGAATAATTATATTTTTATTTTTTACAGAGAGCTGATAACCAGTTAGGTTTAAATATTGTGCCATTTTTTTTCTCAAAAAAAAAAAAATGCTGAAAAATGTATGTTATGACCCATTTAATGTAATTATATTGTTATATAATTTCTGAAGGTAAGAGTGTTTGTCTGTGTGCTGATCCTGGTTCAGTAGTTGCAGTAATATGTTAGTAAAGCTCAGCAGCTTTGGCGTCCTCGTCTCGTCTTTTAATTCAGCATTAGTTGCCTTCCTGGAGTCTAATCTGAACTGAGGTCAGTTTTGGGGATGTTTCTCCACTGATGAAGTAGCTGTTTCCCATAATCCCCGTCTGCGGAGGTGCTTTTCGCTGCTTCCTCATTCTCAGGATTGGTCTTTTGGAGATTTGTGATATGTTTTAAATCATCGGTAAGCCGTTCGCATTGCATAAGCGCTCTAATCCTGAGGATAAATGTAAAACCGATGAATGGAGCAGCGCTTTTGGGCCTCCTGCGGCGGAGCGTCTGCGGGGTCAGACTGAGGACACACACTCCTCGTCTTCCTCTTTACTGTGTTTACTGTGTCCTCACTAGACCTCGCTCTGTCTTGAATATTATTCAAGTGAGCAG